GCTTTCTGAATAAATTTTGACTGGAATGAATAATCTTACATCTTTGGGCTGGGATCTTCATATGTTATTCATATTTTTGTAAGTTGTTTTTCTACTAGTGTAGATTACAGACTCCCATTATTTTTAGTTTGACAATTACAAGTCGGTAATCATCAATAAATTGTAAAATAAATTAGCTATTAACATTTTAATACAATGTCATTTGCTATACTCGTTAACATTTTTAGTGAATACTGGATTAAACTTGATTTATTAAACTACAGCAAAACACATTAAACCTAGATTTCTAAGAATGATGCCTTTGTGGAAAATTTTCTAAGGATTTTGTTTCATATTCACATTTTACATGATGAGAAACACGTAAATGTCCATGTAGTTGGGTCCTTTGCCGAGATTTGAATTTTAATCCAACTATCAATGTTTAGCAACCGTACCAGCTCTGCTGCTGGTGGGCTTTCTGCATAGATGATAAATCACTCACTATAGGTCACAAAGGTAGGCCCGTTATTAAAGTGTTTTAGCTTTTAAGTATTGTCTTGCATTCGGAAAAGCGAATGTTTTATCTTACGCAATAAAAACTGCAATAGATAAATTTACGTTAATTTAATTTTCCTACTTCATCAGATTAGTTAATCAGTTGGCAATGTATTGTATTGGTGTTTTCATACATGTATTACAATTAAGAGTATCAGAATTAGCATGCATACATATGTCTGCGATGTATCAGTTGCTCATTTGTAATAGCACTTTATGCCTTTTTATTCCCACATTGGTACAGATGCATATAAAATAGATTAAAACTCAGAAGCAATGACCAACAGAAATGTGTTTGCCATAGAAGTGTTGATCCATAATGGATAGGAAATTGGAGGCGAAGGCAGATAAAATCTTCATTTTTTATTTTAGCATCATGTTGCGGCCACAAACAAGTTGGCACATTAAATGTGAATATTCCTATTACATTTTGACAAATTTACAGTAAAAAAGAAGGAGCAGACAGACCGCAATCCAGCTAAGCCAAAGCGTAGAAAGCAAGTGCGTTATGTTCAAGGTGAAATCTTAATTCAGACTGAGTTAGTTTTGTTTTTCAATGCATTTTGATTGGATAGTTAATATTGACGTAAAATTACTATTGGCTGCTTGAGTTTTAGTTCCATTTACATCACCAGAATTATGTAAGTTATATGACATGGATTAATCTAGAAATGACGCAGGGGAAATAGAGGTTACTATTTTTAGAATAGAGAAGGGAAATTAATTTACGCTGCCAATTTAATGTTTTACATATTCTTTATTTTTCTTACAAATGTCCATGTTATATCAGTGTCACAATACTCACAGTGATATTATAGTTTATACTTCAAGATATTAGCTTGATTAGTTTACATTTATTAGTGATTCTTGTGTAAATATATGCATTAATTTACAAATGTATCGTGTCTGTAACAGAATCTGAGTATCTTTATATTTGTATTGAGGATGTCTGCATGTAAATATTTATAACATCTGTAGCAGAATTCGGTAGCTGTACATTTGTATTGGTGATGCCCATATCAACATATTTAGAACTAGATTATGTAACTTTTAAGCAGCAGCCGCATACACATATTTTGATACAGAAAGTCTGTGACAGAAATTTGAAAAAATAGAGTTCTTCATTTGAAGCTTTAATCGGTTGCATGGGTAAAATGCTTCATATTTAGAAGTAGTTTATGTAACTTTTAAACAGCAGCCGCATACACATATTTTGATACAGAAAGTCTGTGACAGAAATTTGAAAAACTAAAGAGTTCTTCATTTGAATGATTTATCGGTTTGCACATGGGTAAAATGCTTCATAGTGAGCGCATTTCCTCTCCACAATATATATAGTTCATCTATATATATATATTGTGGATTTATGTATATTGTTCATCTATATATATCTTCTTTATAGTTCATCTTCCAATTTTTAAGTCTTTCGTTTGTTTTGCCTTGTAAAAGCAGACTTTGGGGAACATGATGTAAGACGATAAGAAATAATTACAGCCGTCGACAGGATTTAAACAGATCGACAGGCACCTTTTCTAAGAGGACCGGCTGTACTGCTGGCAGAAAAGAGAAAGAAAGTTAAATTTATATCATGGAATACCGGGGCAGAAATCAGTCTAACATCTGAAACCAGTGCTGTAATAAATCAAAGGATTTTTGTACGTAAAATAATTCACTGGAACGTACTTAAATGCAGTTCTAAAAGCAATTAAAATTTACAGATGCGGATAGTCTGCATCCTAGTTACCTGTTTCAAAAGAATTCTTAAAACAATGAAGACATGCATCATACGTTAATTATATTTATGGACAGCTTTAGCTTACAGATGTCTGATTCTGAAACACCAGTATTTATTGAATTTTAGCATTTATTATTGCAGTGTCTGAAATAGTGTTGAAAACAGCTCCAAGTTCTGAATGAGAAAACAAAATTCACAGTGAGCATTGTATATAAGGGAAAGGAAGAAAATATCTATAATTTTTTTTCCAAATGCAAAGGGCTTATATAGAGCGTGAGAGTTAATATAGTAAAACGATTTTAAAAGTTTAATTTGTCAGTCTATACTGCAACTTCATAGGCAGAAGCGAATTAGATATTTATCTGTGAATTAAGTTTTTGCAAAATTCTGTAATTTTATACGAATATTTGATTTAATTTGAATGTTTGTATAGAACTGTTGGCCTTTCAGCAGCTCTTCATTAATTATTTCATTTTCAGAAACATTCTATAACCTACTTTAGATAATGAAAGAAATCATAAAACACAGTTGATAATAAGCTAAAGTGCGTGAAGATTAGGACAAAGATGAAAACAAATTCTTTTATCGTTTTTTATTGTTAAAGGCATTTACTGTGAAGGTGATTAAACGAAATTATTTATGTTAAAATAAGCATAAGATGGGAGAAATAAATATTTTTTGGAATATTATGTAAAGCATGAAAACCGGCTTTGAAAAAAGAATGAAGCGCAAAATCTTATTCGCAAGATGAGCTTTTATAACTTTTTTTAAAATTTGTTGTAAATGTATTTTTCTAATATGTAGTGTTATAAGGTGTTTCTCCCACGTTCCTACCGTCCTTCGTGGTGTAGTGGTTCTGCACGCTGGGCCGGTATTCCAGAGTTCCGTGGTTTGATTCTCGGCGAAGGCGGTTGCTAATTTTTCATCTCTCTGGCTTTCAAAAATTAAACTAATGTCTCTACAGTGTAAATGAAATTGTTATAACTACATTTTTAAAAGTGGATTTCGTATTTTTAGTTGATGAATTAAGAAATCTGTACAAAACAAAAGCATTTAAGCTCCTAGACTACAGCAGAAGAAACTCCCATTTGTTAAGCAATTAAGATTTTCCCTTAGAAACACATATTTATGCTTCAGAATTAAAAACAAGATACATTTGTAGGTTATGCGCTTGTATGAAATAAAATTTAGAAAATTATTAAACTCACTAAATCAATTAAAAATGATTTTAGACTAGTATCTTTAAATTGGACAATTGTCATATTTTCATTGTTTAACGAACTGCTGTAAACCTATTTATACAAGCTGTGACTTTGAATCCCAACGTAGTATTTTTAGAATCTAAAATAATATGCTGGAATAGAGTTATAACTATTATGGAATAATTAATCAGATTCTGTAATTCTGCCGAATATCAACTTGCTTACCTTGTCAAGGAGATATGTTTAATTAACCATTAATCCAACGCAACTGTAAAAATATAAAGAGAAGGAAAAAGCATGAACTTTTAAAATGAGGTTTATGAAGTCCAGTTTTACATTTATTTCTTAAATAACATTCTCAAGTGACTTTTACAACATTTTTCTATTTTACTTTAATAACTTAGTAACGACAAAAGTTTAGAGTAACAAAATACCTTCCTAAGTGCAACCTTTTCCTGTGACTATTGTTTGCGAACGAGTAGTTATAAAAATGATTGGGGGGGCACTATAAAGGTTGAAATATTGGGATCTGCAGCGCTTCTAAAACGATGTTCCAAATATAACATAAAATCTAGACAATATTAATTTTAATTGTCTAATCTCTCACGTTTCACCATTTTATAAGTCATGTATTAAATTAATTTCAGTGTTTTGGTAAATTCTTTTTCGTGAAGTTAAACGCCATCCTTAAAATGACATAACTTTTAGAACTTGGTGAGTATTTAATATTACTGAGGCGTTTATATGTATATATGTATATATAGTATCAAATAAAATCACATGACCTCAATGAACATTCAAATGGAATGTAACAGAAGTAGCTTATGTGAAAAATGTGGAAGGGAAGACCTCTGTTTTCTGTAAAGTAGTCAGTTAGAAGAGAATATTCAGGGAAACCGAAACTGACAAAATATATACCAAATAAATAAGAAATAGATAAAACAATGCAACAGATGATATAACTTCTAATGCGGGCTGGCTGCATGGGCGTTTTCGTGGTTTTCTCCATGTGTAACGTGTATACGAGCCAGTTTCTTTTAGAAAGTCCTCCACGAAGGCATCCCTCCCTTTAGGCAGATAGTCCTTATGTGCTTTGTCATAATTAAATATTCCAATTCAATCCAATCCTTTACTCAAAAATAGCAAAATGTTACTTATTCTCCTCCACACCGCTAAATATGTTAAGTTTACACAAAAATAGCCCACCAGCGGCCGAGCGGTAAAGACGCTGAACACTGGTAGTTCGGTCCGAGGCTCGAATCCCGCTAACGGGCTGGCTGCATGGGCATTTTCGTGGTTTTCCCCATGTGTAACGTGTATACGAGCCAGTTTCCCTTAGAATGTCCTCCACGAAGGCATCCCTCCCTTTAGGCAGATAATCCTCATGTGCTTTGTCATAATTAAATAATCCAATTCAATCGAATCCTTTACACAAAAATAGCAAAATGTTACTTATTTTCCTCCGTTAAGTTTTTGGGAACCAATTCAAATGGATAATTTCTTCTAATTAAAATTTAGACACAACTTACGTCCAGTGATTGGATGCAGAAGACCGGGGTGAGTGGGAGCTGCCGGAGGTGAAGGTTGCTTGGGTTTGCTCACTTTAGTGTTGCTCTTTGCGAACTCCAGGCGAATGGTCTGCGGCAAATCAGGATCAAAACGCACACCCTGCTAAAGTAAACATTTTACATTAAATTTTGTCATGCACATAACTTTTCTCTTACTCCATAATAAAACTTAATATATAACAATATATATTTATGCATGTCGTGAGCCTGAAAGTAAGTTTTATGAGCTCTAGATTTTATCAAACATATGATCATAATCTAAGAAACATTTAACAATATAATTAAGTTTAAAATTTTTTTAAGAATTTTATAATAATAATTACCCGTTCAGGGTAATTTTGCTTTGAAAAAAAATGCGCTATGCTCGTGCTCTGACAATTAATAATAGTGCTATTACTTAACCGTGTACGATTAATTACAGTAACGCAAACTCTTTTGAAAAAGAAGAGAACTGAAAAGTTCTCAGTTGTTCTGATGTCTCAAATCTTCCTGTTGTTGGAATTTTGGCCTTAATATTCTTAACCACTGCATATTATACTCTGGTCTTTCTCAGTTAACTGAAAAAAACTATGGACAAATAGCATTGCAAATGTAAAGCCATTAGTTAAGTTTACTAGTTCTCATTAAATTTCAGAGTCAGATAAAAGGTGACAACTCCACTGAGTTAAGCCGAATTCACAGAAATGTATCGTATTTCTGTTTTAAAGCGAAGCGAATCTTCGCTTATTTGCCTTTAAGAGCATTGTTAAGTAACTGGAATATAAATGCGCTACAGCACTTCCTTTATTTTTCTCTTGAAAAATATTTTTGCACTGCAAATCCTGCCTTAGTGAAAGAAGATTGTATCTGAAAGTGTTTAAATGAATTTGAGTTTTTAAGTTCTGTGGATTTATTCTGCTAATGAACGTTTTAATCATTGAACTGCAGAGATACTACACATGAATGGAATTGGTATGAATACATAGAGAATTCTTATGCTCGATAGAGAGGCATTAGGAGCATTATGAATGCAAAAGTAACTACTTGCTTGTTTGCTTACTCTAGTGCAAAACTTATTTATTTGTGCTGCTACTGCATTATGTTAACTTATTTATTAGAATTGCTTATCTGAAATTGTATGAAAGTGGTCAGACATTTATTTCTTTTACAAGCTGATTGGCAATTTATTTAGATAAAAGCAGTAATTATTGAAAATAGTTTTTGAATTTATTGAAAAAGGGGCGTGATCCTTGAGAATCGATGCACTTTGAAAATTTTTTGTACCCATGTGAATTGATCAATCTTTAATCATTTCAGCACCCATTGACTTTTATAGACTTAATAAACTTTGCTTATCGAGTAAAAACAGTACTGGGAGTCTGAAAGTTGCATTAGGTATTAGGCATGCACATAAAGAGAAATTCACAAGTTAAACTTTTATTAACTTCATAATATTTGGAGTGCTATGTCACTAAAAAATTATAATGCTTCCATATAATCACAGATGATAATATTTACAGAAAAAAGTGTTAAAGTAACTTAAAAAATACTGTGCTATCTTATGTTTTAAACCAGCAATAACATTTAATGGACAAACCTTTATCCTCCCTCATGGTCTTCTTTTACGTTAACAAACATAAAGCGTATTATAATTTAAAGTAAAGTAAAACATTTTAATGCACTATTTAATCATGGAATTGAAATGCTTCACACGTTAGGTTTTTCTACCTACTTCGCTTTCTTCAGTATACATCAGATTACAAATTGTGCACATATTTTAATAGTTAGAAGAAGAACTAAATTGGCAAATACAAACTTCACCTTACTTTGTTTAGTAATTATACATATAAGGTGAAAAAGTTCAGAGTGCATACATCGCAGAAACTCTTTGAAAAAAACCACAATTCAATGTCTTTCCGAGACAAGATGCCCCAAATAAAGACATAGTAAAATACATTATTATCAATAATTTGTTTTCTAGAAAATTCTTGAAAAATATTGCTTTAAATAATCATGACACTGACAAAATTTTGTAAAAAATTTGTAAAATAAGGAAACTGTATAACTGAAGGGAAAACGAAAAGTTAGCTAAGCTGAACGAAATGTATTTTTTGATAATTTCAAAACACAAAAATATCCATATCGCGTATTAGCAGGCACATTAAGTAATTAACATCCCTGTGGAAGTAAGGCAGTATAGATATCTATTGTTATATTCAGTAACAAATACGTATTAATGAAGGGGAATCTAAGCTATAGCGTTTCCAGACGACTTCAGAAGCAACTAATAGAAACTAAAATCTCTCTTTGCGTAATAATCATTTCACCTTCTTCGGGGGATCAGAAACTTTTTCTTTTACGGAATGAATCTTAGTCTCATCACTAATTCTTATTAAAAACTATCAGTCTGAAGAAAATTAAGAAGGTTATATTACTACTGAATGTAGCAAAACAAAGAAATAAAGAGTATATTTTATTGGTTTGGGAAGGATTATATATTGATATAGCTTATTATTGGTTTGGGCAGGATATAGCTTAGAGAAAACTACATTCTGCTTACTCATTATAGAATTTGTAATAGATCTAAATGCTAGAAAAGTCTCTTTGAAATACCTGCAAACTTTTTCACCTAAATGTAGGCAATGGTCGCAAAATTAAGTTTATTTGTGTTGTAACACTTTAACACCTAGATTCGTAAAGACAAACAAAAATTTAAACTTAAGATATTCTTTAAATGAAATGCTGATAAATGCTGATTAAATGTTGTCATCCATTTTCAGAAACTTAAACTATGTTTTGTATGATTGCTACAAAAATTTATAATCCTCTGTAACATTAAATCAAATTAAAATATCCTAAACAGCACGAAGTAAATTTTCTGTAGATTTTATCAGAACGAGAGATTATGTCACTTCACGTTATTTCGAAAATCACTTTTCATTATCTTCACTATTATTTTAAAATTCTTTTTCCTTTGAATCAAGACTTAATTTCTGTTTCATTAATACAATGGTACATACCATAAAAAAATATGACTTAAACATGATAACCACATTCTAAATAAAATGTTTACTTTATAACCAACTATTTTTATAAAGTAAGTAAGCCATTTTTGAATTTAATATCCTTCTTAACATCTGATATATGTTCTATTCAGAAGTTCTATAGGCTATTTCTACGGTATTCAGTTCAGCGATTGTTTTTTATGCACCACTTTTCTAAGAAGTACACTAGAGTGAGTAATAAAATCTTAAAAAGTACAGAAGTTTCAAATTCGTATTTTGGATCAATACTTGGGGAACACTATGATTCAATTTTGCTTAATGGCAGTAAATAGATATACTAACATCCATGTGTAACTTTCATGATTACATGAATTAGTATATACATAAGAGTATTAAGCTTTCTTTATTAAGGTTCTTATTAAGGTTCTTATTAAGGTTATTTCTTTATTATTTTAAAAAGTTAGTATGGGTTTAAATGGGTCAGTATAAAACGCAAATATGTGCAGATGAAGGGTTTCAGAGTTTTAAAAGTATTTAGGAAAGTTTCAATAAATGCTAACAAAATAGTGTACTTATATTCTAATATATAAGAGAAAATACAATCCTAATTATTGTTATCCAGTTCAGTTTGATAAATCTGTTCTTGAAACATAGATTTGCTTCAAAAATGCAAATGCTTGCATAGCGTCATCCGAAGGAGAGGAAAGCGCTTTGAAGTGCGTTTTACAGAAAAATTCTGAAATTCAAAATTTGACTTCAGTCATTATATAGTCAAAACAAATATTTATGGTACCAAATGCCCTTTGGAAGAATCGAAACGAGGAAGAGATATCGACCATTCAAATGCAGATTGATCAAACGTGAGGGGGCAAGGTCACTGAATGTTTAAAGACCAATAGGCCTCTATTCTGTCTAGAAAAAAATTGAAAAAAACTCTTCCTAAAAAGCTTGCACAAGGCTGTAAGAGAAAAACAACTACATTCCAAAATCGGATTTTGTTCGTAACTGCCATGACAATAAGAAAGTAAATGCAGGGCTACTGTGTTCAGAGCTTGTGGTCGCCAACGGACTTTTATATCGCAGCAGAATATATATATTAAGCTGAATGAAGAAAGGAGATGATTTGTATTTGACTGACCTCGCAAGAAAACAGCGCCTATCTGATTCTTTCCAGAGAATATCAGAATTAGAGTCTACGTCAAAAGGTATGTGTTCTGTTTAGTGATCAGTTGAGTTTCAGTTTAACAATTTTTTCTAAACATGTTTATATTTAGGAAAGAGGAACATGAAAAGAGGAACACGAGAACAACATTAAAGAATGGGATCACTATGGGAGCAGAAATATTTTATTCTAAAAGAAACGGAATGCGACCAATGGCTGTGAAAAGGAAAGATAGTCAGTGGAAGTAATTATATCTCCTGCAAATGTTTAATAAAGTGTCTCTATCTGCCCTTGTAATATCGAGTATTATATATAAGTCTTATAACTTCACGTAAGATATTTTACAGGTGAAAGTGAATCTGGTGTTTTTATGGATGATAACGGGAGTCCACATCCGGTTTGATGAAATTTTTTATAATGAACAGCAAAATAGCTTGACAAGAATCCTACAAAGAACTTACTGGATACTCATAGAAGAGCTCTTAAACAGCGAAATTCCCTTCTTCTAAGTAATAACATGATTAAAATTTTATCGTACTAAATTTTATTGTAAAGGTTTTCAGAAATCAGTATTTTTGTGCACGTAATAATTTTGTACATCAGCGTATTTCAAGTTTTCAAAGTAAAAAATTTTCGAGACGTAAAAATGACGCTACATTTTAACATGAAATGTTAGTACATTAAAGCGCAGCACTAGATGCGAATTTATATCACAGAGGAAATATTAAAAAATCAATCATAACTACTTTAATTTTGTTAATGCTATTTTTTAACCAACCAGTCTGATTACATACACAGACTGAATAATCTGATTAAGCAGTAGGAAAAGGTTCACCTTCCAACTGAAAGAGTTCTTGAAAATGCATTAAATTCATTAAGTAAAACGTACTATATTTATTTGTAATTATCAAGTAAATTATGCAATTCGTCATTGCGCCATTTCACTTTCCCAAGCTC